TCAACTGGAAAGTAAAACCAACAGATTCTTGGTTCAATGTGTCCTTGTTCAATAGAGGCATTATTGTCCAATTAGAGCCAGAAGCACCCAAATTCTCCTCTCAACAATAAAAAATTCCTGCTTGTTTAGATTTGTATTGCCATTAAATAGGTTGTAGGATTTGTGAAATGGTTCATTTTGAGCATCATTCAATTACTACTCGAATAAGGATATGACAATTCAATCAGGTTGTCGTCCCATGCCCGGAGCCTAAGAAATTAACTAAGGCAGAGACGGGAGGGTTCAGAGAGCCACCAAGATTTGCCCACTTTCCATTTTCCCCAAGAAAGCAGGGGTGGGCTTGTCTCAGGGTGAGGTGCTAAATGTCCCCTGACTTTTCTATTAGGTTATCACCTAATGTACTGGCTTGCTTCAGAATGTTTTTGGCAATTATGCATTATCAAGGGTTGGTTGCTGGAAATTTATGTATTGTGTCATAGTATAGTTGTGGCTTCTCACATTAGTTACTTAATCTCTGATATCTACATGCTCCCTGCCTGTTTTCAGGTGGGGCATAACATGTTACAAGGGTACTTGTTTCCATTGGCAGAAAATTTTATTACAGTGTCCTGTTGGTGTCAGTTTCTCGGTGAATGGTAGATACTGGGGGAGGGGGGGGGAAGAGACTCAGAAAGTGGTTTAAAATTATACTGAACATTGTTTTATTTTTATTTTTCCAAGAAATTAGAGGCAGTAGGACGTGCAGTTCGTGGGAATGACAAACCATTTGGTGGTATTCAACTTATATTGTGTGGAGACTTCTTGCAATTGCCACCAGTTGCAAAGCCTGGAGAGAAACGAATATTTTGTTTCCAAACTTCTGCTTGGGATCGCTGTGTAAGTGTAAATGTAGAACTGACTGCAGTTCGACGACAAGACGATCAGGAATTTATTAACATCCTACAATCAATTCGTCTTGGAAGGTGAGTAACGTTCATTCAGAATTCTCTACTTTACATGAAATTTCATAACGGCTTCTAGATCTAAGATCTAAATCATCTTCATAACAGCTTCTAGTGTGATGGTCATATTAGCTGTATACTGCAAGCAGCAGTAACTTGGCTGATCAGGCAATCACCCGTGAAGCGTGGTTTCAGATCATGATGCGGCAGTAGGATTATTAATAACTGGCCACAAGGAAAAACACAAATCAATGTACTGTACTCCATTCGACATAGTTTCCTAACATTTTCATCTTGATACCCCCTTGTCTTTGTGGTCATAACCTACATGCACTCCCCTCTACAGCACCTATCTTTTATAGTATACAGATTCCATTACTGTCTTACTATGCCCTTAATTCATGCTTCTTACGCTTTGTGTTGTTTGTTTCTACATTCACTTTTGTATAATTTTATTAGTCCTCTTTTCTTTCTTTCATTTCTTCACATTGTTGTTCTAAGGTCCAAGTAAGTTTTGATTTTTTCTGCTGTGCTAACCAACATGTGGAATTCTAGTGAAAGTGTTACAAGCCCTTTTTGAAGTTATACATTTGAAATGAAATTGTGTAAACATTTTATAGAAGGGCACCCCATATAAGAAAGGGAGTTCCCATAGATGTAGCATCAGTGATACAGAACACTGATTGGGAATATTTTACAACGCAGTAATTTACCTGGATACATATGCTATAATTCCTAGCAATTTTCCCAAGGTATGGTGCAGAAGAGGGGTTGTTGGTCTGCTGGCGTACACAACCACAAGACGGGTAGAACACAATATCCAGTAGAAATAGATTTCCCTCGTGATGGATATAATGTCGAATATAGTTTGGTTTCATTAAGAGATTTATATCATAATTTGTTATGTGCATAATCTGCATTGAATTAAATAATTTTATTAATTTAAGTTGGCATTATGCTGCATATTATTATCCCTCTTAAGTTCTGATTTTTATCATTTCCATTTATGTTCAGTGACCTTTTATGCTTATTTTTCAATTTATATTCCTTAGATATGATTTACAGCCTTTTGCTTACATATAATTGTGCAAATTTAGAAAATATGAATATAAATTTCTGTACTGTATTGTACAGTATGTACAGTATATGGCTTTCCTGTTATCGGGTACAAGAAGCCTGTACATAGGCTTATAGAGGTCTTCCTAATTCAACTACAGTACTGACCTTCCCCAGGATACAACTCCTAATAATTGTGTAACTCCTGGGTACCTATTTACTGCTAGGAAACATGGCCCAACTGTGCTGTGAGAATTGAACCTGAGCTGCTGTAGACCACTGCACTAAAGGACTATGGATTTGATGAACCATACACACAATAAAAAACATAGGGAAAGAAATGTAAAAAATTGTGTTTGAGCAGAGTAGTGAATATAACAGACAGCAGGAAAGTCTCTTGGTCACTATTTAGAAGCATTACTATGAGAAGAAGAGGACTCTCCAGATGTCTCTGGATAAACTTTTCAGTTAGGAAATGAAGAAAGCACCACAAAGGAGCTCAAAAAATTAACCCATCAAAAATCAGTACTAAGAAATCCTTTGCACATTGAAAACAAAAGGGGTGTCTCTCTCTCCCTCAGATGAAACGTTAGGCCTGCTTCATTGTTTCATAACTATTCAAGTAGCATTCTCCTTACATTTTAAGTTCCAGCAAACACACTTCTGTTGCTATATCTAGTGAGAATGAATATATTGTGCTGGTACTGTATTTTAGAGTATATATATATGGCAGCATTTGTACTCCACTAAATGATGCCGAACATAGTTGTTTTTTAATTTTCTGAGTAACACATTCCTAATTATATCACTGATGCTTTTGGGGAAATATTTTAATTTATGGCCTATTATTTTTAAGTTTTGATTTCCAGGAATACATCCCAGATGTAAATAGGAGGATTACATATTACTTGTTGGTAATACTGTATGACCACTGACAATTTTTAAGAAATCCTCATACTGTAGCTGTTATTTTATATTTCATTATTGCAAATCTCTAATTAGGTGTACAGAAGACATGGTCAAATGCTTAAAAGAAACTGAAAACAACAATGTGGAGAGGGACGGTATAAAAGCGTCAAGGCTGTGTACACACCGTGAAGATGTTAACCATATCAATCAAGAGTATCTTAATAAACTAACAGGTTAGTGTGTGTAATATGTAAATGACACATTTCATATACATTTACTGTACAGTATACATAAATTTAATATTTCCTTCTTGAAATTCCATGTCCCATTATTTTTGCAGCCTATTTAGGGCTTTCTCCAGTATTTTAGCATCTTCAGTTGATTTTATTCTCTTCATTATCTAGTAATGTAGTCACCATCTGCAAGTGGTGACATGAATAACTCTTCTGTCTCAGGTCAGTTATTTATGTAGATCAGGAACAGAAGGAAACTAGTACTGATCCTGTGAAGTCTCTCTCATCATCTTTCTCCATTCTGACTTTGCTTCTCTCACAATGGCTCTTTCCTTCACATCAGGTAGCTTCATACCAAGTCTGTACTACCAGTCTTGTAATACCAGCCTGTTTCTCTATCTCACATATCAGTCTATTGTGGAGGACAGTGATAAAACTGCCTGAAACGCTTTGCGTAATAGTGGCTTTAGGCATTGTATGTATAAGCTCTATCTATAAATCCATCAACTTTTGTATTTTACCTTGTATGTATGTACTTTACCTGAAAAGGCTTCTGGCAGTTTGAAGAAGATTCGATCATCCTGTCTTCTTTTCAATCTAATTTCGTTTGCTCCATTCAATTAGGTTTCTTATGTATGAATTTTCTTCCCTGAACCAATGTTTCTCGTTTATGAATTTAGATTTCTCCAGATATTGCACTGTTCTAAACCTTATTTCTACTAGTAAGTACATTGCAGGGACATGAGTGTGTAATTTAATGCCTCATGTTTGACTACTTGCATGAAAACATTTGCAGTACAATAATATGTTTGCTGTTTTGTATATTTCTGAATGCACTCTGTTTCGAAAGTGATGTTATATACTGAACAGATCTTTTGTCAGTGACTTTTGCAGTACAGTTTTCAAACTGCATCCCTAATAATTAATGATAAATTTGTTTTGGTCCCACTGCCTTAAATATAGACAAGTCTACTAGGTTTTTCTTTACTTTAACACAGGTGTTGCATATTTTCCTCCTTAGTGTTTTAATGGTTATCTATCTGTGCTTATCTAGGTATGCTTACCTATCTGTAATGACTTAAGTGTCAAGGTAATTACATTTACACAGTTACACCTGTAATTACATCTAAGTGTAATCACTAATCACAGGATGAGAGCTATGCTTGTGGTGTCCCGTCTTCCCAGCACTCTTTGTCGTATAACGCTTTGAAACTACTGACGGCTTTGGCCTCCACCACCACCTCACTTCAGCTTGTTCCAACCATCTACTACCCTGTTTGCAAAAGAAAACGTTCTAATATTTTTGTTGGCACCTTTGTTTCTGTGCTTATCTAGGTGTGCTTACCTGTCTGTTCCTATCTAGGTATGTTTACCTATCTGTCCTTTCTAGGTGTGCTTATAAATCCATCCCTCTGAGGGAGTGAGATGTACAGTAGTTATAGGGTTCTGATTTTAGCTACTGGGATCCTGGTGTATTTATTCCTCTCAACACACTACGAGGCCAGGCATATCTTTTGCACAGTGTGACTAGTTAGAAGGAAGAAATATATTAAGATAAATAAGAAAGATTGGTGGTTTGATTGTAAGTGTGCTATATGGGTGTTCCTGAAGAAAAGGAACACTGTAATGCAAAACTTAAATCTTGGGTTTCAGGAACATGTTTCAGAGCCAGTATATTACTATATGTGATGGCTGAAGAAGAAAGGAGGATATAATATTTAAATAGTTTGTAAGGAGTTAGTATAAGGAATGATGGACACAAAGGTATTTGATATTCTATGAAAACTGTTATTGTTGTTGTTTAAGATGACATTCCTTCACATCTAACAGAGGAATATAATCTGGACCTGTGTACTTACCTAATTGTGCTTGCAGAGGTTGAGCTCTGGCTCTTTGGTCCCGCCTCTCAACTGTGTGTGAGGCGGATGTGTGTGTGTGTGTTTATTTATTTATTTATATTTTGACATAAACATCAAGTAGATATGCAGTAATAAAATGTTACCCGCATGACAATGCATCCATGATTCTCTGTCTACATTATGAGTTATTTTAGTACTTCAAAATTGCTAACATTTCTAATTGGAATGAAGAAAAATAATGTAAATTTTATTGGTTCAGGGAATGGAAAAGTGTTCCAGTCCATAGATAGTGACCCAAGTCTGTCTTCACTCCTGGACTCTCAAACTCCTGTGATTGACAAGCTAATACTCAAAGTTGGTACTCAAGTTATGCTCATGAAAAATCTAGATGTTGGCCAAGGACTGGTTAACGGTGCTAGAGGGGTAGTCACTGGCTTCAAATTGGGAACAGAAGGTAAGAATGATTTTTTGATCTAAATACAGTTTCAAAAATTAACTTTTTTTTCTAAATCCCTTTAATATTTCTACTACTGTACCCTATGCACAAGTATATTTTTCTTAGGGTAAAGTTGCCGGTCCCCAGGCATTGTTGGTTTAAAGTTATCCTGAGGTTTGATTGGAATGCTTCTTTTTGTTACACATCCCCAGGAAGCCACCTGTAGCAGCTATCTAACTTCCAGGTTCCTACTTATTGCTGGGTAAACAGACGCATCAGAATAAAAAAAACTCTGCCCATTTGTTTCTGCCTCTGGTGGGGATTGAACCCGGAACCTTAGGACTACAAATCACGAGTGCTCTCCACTCAACCGTCAAGCCTCCCCCCTGATGGCTACTCTCATTTCTTTTGTTGTTTGATGAAACAACATAAAAAAAATCACCAGAGCATTTGTATATATTCATACACCAGATACCTATATAAATATGGTAGATATCCACAAATGAACATTTAGGAAAAATATTTGTGACCAATATTTCTCCGAGAGACCACTCGGTAGCTTCCCAAGCTTAAGTGCTACTAATGCCAAGCCTTAGGAAATTGCACCAGGTCTCCGGGACCTACCAGAGGTAGGTCTTAGCATTTACAAAGAATATTTCTATTTCAGGAAATCCAGTTGTGAGATTCTTATGTGGAGTGACAACAGAAATCAAACATGAAAAATGGACAGTGAGAGCTTCAGGAGGTGTTTTCTTGACTAGAAGACAGTTCCCTCTGAAGTTAGCATGGGCCTTTTCCATACATAAATCTCAGGTGAGGAAATTATGTTAAAATTTAATTTTTTATTTGTCTTCAAAAATATTAAGACAAAAATTCTTTTTTTTATTTCTACTCCAAAGTACAGCATACTTTAATCCCTAACAGAACTAAGGCAATAGATTAACTCTCAGAAGATATACTCTGAGAAACACACTACTGTATTACTAATTGGGTTTTACTGGGTACCAACACGAAAAAGAATAGATCCATGTGCTTATGGCATTGGCTCACTAGGAACATCAATCCATCTTAGGGTTGATCCTGGCTGTTTGTGAGCGAGGGATTGGTGGTTCAGGGGACACTGTCCAGTGTTGCCATCTGGTGGCACCCTAAGCAAATTGGGGCGGGTTACCTTGCATTGGTTTTTAACTTTCGTTTCTTTTTGAAGAGTAGCAGTTTAGATTTGTATCACTTGGACTTTCTTGATGATTTTCTTCAATTTTTGGTTCAGTCTCGGATCCTCGTAATCTCGCCTCTTTGAGGAAACAGTTTTGATATTGGGAAGACCTGGGGTAAATCTCGGGAACTAGTATGATTAGAAATTCTGAAACTGCCAACAGGGAAGAGTTTCTTTGCATTCAGCAGTTTATCTTTTTCTAGGTAGTTAATAATTAGTTACCTTTGTGTTAATTTTTTAATACACACGAGTTCTAGCTTGGGACATTAGAATACTTGTAGAACTGTTGTTGGGAAAAGTAGTCGATAGCTTGTAAAGACTCGTTACCCCCCAACAAAATTATGACGAGTTATGTTGGTGAGTTTTATGCTTCTGTGCCTATGGCAGGCAAACTGTTCTACAGGTTTGTAACGCACTCGGAGTAGTACTGGTAGTACACTTTGTAAGCTGGCTTGGCAAACCTCAAGTTGTGGCCTTTTGTTTGTGTAGCATTATATATTCTATGTAATGTATGTATTTATTTGTAAGTTGACCGAGGCAAGTTTATATAATCTCGTGTAATATTTAGAAATACTGTAGTTGTATAATAAAATAGCTCTTGTTAGTTTCATGTAATTTTCTGAACATTAATTTGTTTATTTACTGATTATTATATAATTCATGAGGTGTTTGGTATAACAAAATTCATCGGGAAGAGCCACTCCTGACAAAGGGCTTGGAGTCAACCAAGAATACAAGTACAGTACTTGATATCATACATAGAACCTTGACTCCCATATATTGTTTTCATTCTCTTCACGTTTATACAATCAAAAGTCATGTTTGCTCACATCATATACTGTACTGCATTAATGTAAATGTTTTAAAGCTTTTCATTACTTTATATTAAATCATACATAGGCTACAGGAGCATTGCTGTGTACATTATTTACTGTTTCATGTCATATTGTTTACTTTCTACCAGGGTATGACTCTAGACTGTGTCGAGATGTCCTTGTCACGGGTGTTTGAGGCAGGCCAGGCTTATGTTGCACTCTCTCGTGCCAGAAACTTGAAAGGACTACGAGTGTTAGATTTCAATCCCACGTGTGTACGGGCTCATCCCGATGTTCTCAAATTTTATCAAGGACTAAGAAGGGCTCGCTATGAAGAACAACAGTCAATTGAACACTATCTCTGATGGTTCTCTTGTAAACTTTTAATACTGTATGTATGTTCAACAATAATGATAAAGAAAATGCTATGGTTTTATATTTTGGACACCTTGATCTTTTTGGGAACTTATCTTTGCAGGCGAGGTGACTTGTAGAATCCTGTACGCTTAATTTGAATACCTTCAGGCTTTATAAAAGATTCCAGATGCAGCATCCAAAATCATTTGCCAGAGATTTGTTTGTAGAGGCTTGGTTATCATAAAAGTGGAAAAGGTATTACTTACTGGCAATGGTAAATTGACATTTGTGGGGAAAGATCGAGGACCGACATGAGTAAGTACATATACTTGACATGTTAGAATAAAATAAACTCTTTGGCAGTAAATCAAATACTTGTTAACAAAATTTTTTATTTGATTTATTGTTGTTTTAAATTTTGTAATGTATTTTTATTTGATGGGGAAAAAATTACCATTTCACATTGTTGGTCTGTTGCATTCACAAGTAAACAGCACTTAAATAACAATCGCCCCAGGAGGATAACCATAGGACTGAAGAACCTAAATGGGGAGGGGGGGGGGGGGAAAGGCTATGGCTAAAAAGGTTCTTAATACCTTTCAACTGAATAGGTAGTGCACAAAATTTCTGCATTCTGGCCAGATTTTGACCAGCTTTCAAGTAATTTAATGTCCATATGAAGTCAATGAAGCTCCTACTGGTATTCTTCTGTAATATAATCTGTATTCTTCCCTAAGCACAACCACTTTAACCATTCCAATCATTGCTTGTACCCGATGCACAGTATATCAGCCTTTGCTCTTACACATTTTGTACTCATTACACTACTGTCTGCATACTAATTATTACCATTAATCATTACACCACTGTACTCTATATAATGCCCAGTAATCATTACACTACTGTACTCAGTATAATGCCTAGTAATCATTACATTACTGTACTCATTACAATACCCTGTTCATATCCAAAGATATGCAGGCGATGAGTCACAATAACATGGCTGAAGTATGTTGACCAGACCACACACTAGAAGGTGAAGGGACGACGATATTTCGGTCTGTCCTGGATCATTCTCAAGTTGATTGTGGAGAATGGTCCAGGACGGACCGAAACGTCGTTGTTCCTTCACCTTCTAGTGTGTGGTCTGGTCATCCAAAGATATGCTGGCCTAGGGAAACGTTCCTGTCTTCAGTACCTCTTGCATGATTGAATCGTATCTATTTTTTAATCATGGAGGAGATTCAGCTCTCATACACAGTTTGGGGTGGCAAAAAAAGTGACAAAACTGTCAATAAAATTTATTAAGACAAAAATAGTTCAGAAATATATTGGCTACTTTGGTCAATAATACAGACAAAAAATGTCTTATGTATACAGTACATAAAATATTCCTTATATGATGTATGAATCATCGGTTAAATGAAATGCGAGAAAATTTTCACTAATACCTGGAAGGGAAGGGAAGGGAACTATTAAGAGTGCCAAGCAATTATGACTATATAGAACTTGGAAGGAATCGGGAAAAGGATTTGGGATGGGACACAGAGAAGGAATGGTGCCCAACCACTTGATGGTTGGGGATTGAATGCAGACCTGCATGGAGTGAGACCACCACACTACCGTCCATCACAAGTGGTTGAGTCCTGGAGTCCAGTACTGTACTAGGAATCTTGGTGACGTACTAATTAATTGTCAGTATCACCTGCATTTTACTGCTCTATAAGGGAGGTTTATTCTTTTGTAACACTGAGGTTATAACTAACTGTACAGTACTTTAAATGGAAGTTAAAATTTATTTGACCTGTATTACATACCTTGTGGTGGGTGTGTGGACCAATGTTTCCATGGCTAAGTCTCTGACCAGGCCTATCAGTTGGTGGTCTGAGCAACCAGGCATTTCATTTGATAATAAAATCACAATAGTACAGTACAGTGGTGCCTCGATTAACGAGTTTAAACCGTTCCGGCACCAAGCTCAAGTGGAAAACTCGTCTTGCGAAACAGGAACAAAACTGCCGTCGGAGGTGTCCGAGAACCAGTGGAAATGCTCGTTAATGGAACGAAAGCTCGTCAGTCGAGACATATTTTCTGCGAGTGGCTTGCTCGTTACTCGAAATGCCATAACTGGAGCCGCTCGTCACGCGAGGTTCCACTGTACTTTTTTTTTTTATACCATCATGCAGCAATTTATGTTTAGAATACCATAGTTTAGTATGCCTTAGCAAGAAATAGGCATGTCTTCCAAACTGTTACGTTCATAGTACTGTACCAATTTTGAGGCTTTTTTTCATTGATCAATGTCAGGTACAGTACTTGTGTTGAATCTAATATACAACTTTCTAACCAGGTTTACCAGCACTAACTGACCTCACATTCCAGTGCTGGGTTCAGAACCTGAATATCTTCATAATAAAAGTGAACAGGTTTTAATAGCAGTTGGCTTTTATCCTAAAAATATTAGCCAAAATATTGATTGAACTAGAATATTTGTCATATTTGGCTGGTAATATGCAATCATCATCTTATCTTGAGATGATTTTGGGGCTTTTTAGTGTCCCAATTTAGTGTAATCAATTAATCATTGATTAATGTTTTAATAGGAATGAAAATTATGAATGTAAATGATAGTGTGCCTTGCATAAATTTATACAAAAGATTATACAGGCTTATTATTATGTGCAAGGTAACTTTTCTTGCTATGTTCTAATGTATTTTTTTATATCACATTTCCTTTAACTAAGCATGTTTAGTTTCACAAAAATCCGGCAAGTTTTATTTTTGTAATAGAGAAAATATATTTACAAGATAATGTCATACAATGTCCAAGCATGGAAGCCTGCCCAGCCTTTCATGTCAAATAAGAGAGAACCAGATAATAACAGACAACATTATGCTGGTCAAACAGCAAAAAGGGTAAAGGTGTGAGATGCTGTGCAAAGTGAAGGTGATACACAAGTATTGCAGAGATGCCAAAATTAGTTTTGTCTGTAAGCAGGGTCATTGATGGGGCTAAGAGAATGTAGTTTTTCAAGGAAAGAATAATGATATTGGCAGAGGTTATCTGTGGTACGAAAACAGGTGGTGGTGATGTAGCAACAGTAGTGGTGGAACAAGGCAAAAAATGTGGTTTCTTTATATATTTTGTTTACACAATAATAGGTGAATATAGGGAAGTACAATCTGAAATTATATAGGGAGATTTTTAGGAAAAGGCTATGAGCTTATACTTAACAAAAACATTATATGGAAGAAAGGACAGCATGTAGGCAAAATAATTTATAGATATCCAGAAAAACTTATTTAAAGGTAGCAATGGACATACTGCAATAACAAGCTAGCTGTGGTATTTCACCCTAGAGGTTATGTGGAGCGAGAAGTTACAGTATTAATATTTTTGGAGAAAGTGATTGCTAGCTGCACTGAAGTTCTAAAACAGATGTTAATTATAGTACATGTGAAAGTAGATGGAGGGTTCAATAATTGTTTTAAAACAGAGTAGGGCAAGGTACTGATCTTTTAACATGGCTACAATTGCTAGTGACGGGATTTAGACTAAAGATCAAGTGCTAATAGAGCCATTCAACACTTACTAATGTATGACTGGCACAGTCAGTTTCCAATGTATGAATGGAGCCGTCAGATATTGTAGACGAATGTGAGAGCTGTATGAAAAGACTTGTACAAATGGTGAAAAAATAAAATGCTAGAGTATGGTGTTATAGCACTACTACATTATTAGAAGAAAAATAAAACTGGTGACTTTTTACTATATTACTCCCTCTGTTAGGAAATAACACTCTTCCGTTCACTGTGTCACTCACGTTATATTGCATGATGGTCAACTCCAGTACAGTATTTGCATTCATTGGGAGTTAGAGAAAAATTTATTTTTCATTATAAATAGCAATACTCCATTTGCAAATCAGAAGTAGACATTGCTCAAATAAGATTTTAAAAAAATTGATGTGATAAATAGGTGCAAAGGGAAAATAATAAATGTGTGGCATATACAAGGCACAGAAGTGAGATGTTGGGGTAACTGGAGAGGTAGTGAGAGTGTGTGTGAGTGAGTAGGGAATAAATCTCATGATTGCATAAAGAGATCATAACAGGATAGTTACATTAATTAGGAATGCAGAGTCTGTCATCGGAGGGGGATGGAGGGGTCAGAAATCACTAAGATGGACAAAGTATTAAGGAACTGATGGATGTACATCAGTTTTATTTTCTAAGTTAATAAGTTCACATTTTATATTTTCACATGTATAATTTGTGTAGATGGCACATTTAATGATAAAAATGAAACTTTTGTTTTTAATTCTGTACTTGAATAAACAATTTACAGCATGTCTGCAGAATTTTAAACTGTTGAAGATACAGTAACTCTGTCATAGTAGTAGAAAAGTATTTTTCCTTTAACTACACAGATATATCTAGCATCACAGGATGAATGATTACATCCATTAATTCCCCCCCAAAAAATTTATATTTTATAAAATAAATAAGAAATGCCCTTTAGATGGAGGTTTGGCAGAAACCAGGTTGCAGAGTTTTAATATCTGAAACCGTCACAAAATATAGTGTAGAAACTTGAGTTATGAAATAGTGATGTAAATTTACATCACTATTACTCCATTTCCTACATTGATAATGACTGCTTCCCCACCCTCTAAAATTATAAAACCATTCTGTAAGGTAAGGTAAGGTACCGGTTACTATTGTGGTTTCATGAACTTCATTTTTTTGTTTTGCATGTTATTACCTTCAGTTCCCTGGTTTTCACTTTTAGTGCCATAAAAGTTGTCTGGTTCTCTCTTGTTTCCTCTATTATTGTTATTACCACGGAAATGGTCTTGTCCTTTGGAATTATCCATGAACTTTCCTCTTCCTCGACCTCTGCCCCTAAAATTGCCCCGAGAACTGCCTCGAAAACTATTTCCTCTACGGTTACCTCCCCTGAAGTTCCCTCTACCTCCATTATCTTGAAAAATGGGTCTGGTGTGATTGCTAAAACCTGAAGATTTGCCGCGGCCACGCTTATTTTTCATATTCTCGACGTGCTCTTCATCGGTGGCTTCTCTCTTGGCATTAATGTCATCTAGGTGGTCACTCTTCCTCTTGGCGTACTTACTGGTTGGCTTATATTTCTTTGCCATTTCCTCAGCAGTCACATCAGCCTCCATCTTGGTTACCGTTTCTGGTGGTGGCGGCCTGAGATAGAAATGTTTATTTTTGTACGATTAGTAAACCCTTAATTAATCAATATTAGCCCATTGTGGTCTCCTGATGGTCTAAACCATCAGAAGACCGAGTTTAACAAAAAAAAAATCTTGGTTAAATTGATTTACCAAACTTGTAAAAAAATATTTATTTGCTAACAATGAATACACATCTTTAATAATTGGGGGTGATAAAATTAATATACAATAGTTTAAGAATATAAAGGAAGTTGAAAAGAATTAAAATCACAAATACAGTACTGTACCACATACACTGTAGCTAACAGTATTTCAATAAAAGGACAAGGATGACTGCCCTTTCCTAAATGTTTACAAGTATCATTACAGTACAGCTGTACAAGCAAAAAATCAACCTACAGTAATTTGTTGGTGTGCAGTCTCTTATATTTGCAGATATTCATTAGAAATATGTATTGAAAAAACAAGCTATACAAACTGACAAAGGTTTGACTAACAATTCTTGGAGAGAGAAAAAGAACGATACAATAAAACTGCCTCTGTATCGAACAGAGTAATTTACATTGTATGTAAATTACTCTGTTCGAAGTAATTTACTTTAATTTACTTTACTGTTCGAAGTAATTTCTGTTACAGAAAACATTCTGTAACACTTTCAATGTGCCAATATAAAACAAGATAAAAAAAAAATTGCATGCCATTGTGGCATGCAAGCACTGAATCACCATCTGCTTTGTGTAAATATTTACTTGCACAAGTTGTTTTCACAAGGAATCTCTAATAAGTGCACATACGACTTTCACCAATTACATCACAAGCACAATTATTTCACAAAGTAAATTCTTTACTTTGGACTTGGATCCTCTTGGACTTGAGGCAACATGCTATTCTGGAGGATATTTAAATTCATGAATAATTATTGGAGAAGGTAAGGTAAGATATGCCACTTGAATTATCCCAGGAAATAAAGGATATAGTGTTGGGGACTGTTTTCCAGGAAAATCCTATCCTTTTATACAGCTATTTGGTAGTGAATGGCTAAGGTAAACAAAGGAGGAGGACCTCTTCAAGTGTTCTCTTTGTCCAACTCCACTCCAGGTAAGCTGAGGGATCTGCAATCCACTAGAGCAGGTTAGATAAACCTTTAACTGCTATTTTTACACTTGATATGTAGTCAATGAGTTGTTTTAGTGTCAAAACAAATTAAGGATTTTTTTCTATAGATACAGTACCATTAAAACTGGAAAAATTAAAACTCTGGCTTTTTTTTTTAAATTGCTGAATAACTTGATACCCAACAAAGCAAATAATGTTTTCAAAAAAACAGAAATTTAACAAAATTAACAAATATATACACACACACACACACACACACACACACACACACACACACACTGGAGATTCCCTTGCAAAATGATGACAAGTCTCACCAGCCAGATACCAGGGATAAGCACCCATTTATATGTTTTGGTTAATAATGTATCCCAATAAATATTGCATCTAGTCGAGATTGTGGTGCTAATTAAGATACTCTTGTTACATATTCAGTATTTCAGATATATCTCCCCTTGACCTGGCATTTACCCAAAAAGAAGATTTAACGAACTAGGAGCCAGTGACCACTGTGCTATCATGTTTGATTACATTATAGAACTGGAAGAGTAAGAGTTGGAAACATGACATGGAGCATGAAAAAATACAGAAGAGGGATTATGCACATGAGGTTCAATGGGAGACTGAAATGGAAGGAAAGTCAGCAAATGAGATGATGGAACTCTTAACACAAATGCAGTGTACAGTTCACCCCGCTCATGAGGTAAGTGAATGAAAGGAGAACATCAAACCCATGCCTCAGTGTAAGGAGGAAAAGGAAGACGACAAATGCATGGCAAATATAGTTACATGGGTACAGAGGCAAATAGGGAGGCACTAAGAGAGCCAGGAATGAGTACACCTGAATCATGAGGGTGGTTGAGCAACAGTTTGAAGATGACATTGCAGCAAAAACAAAGAGCCAACCCAAGCTTTTGCAAGTCATACATGACAGAAAACAATGGTAACAGACCATGTGATCAAACTTGTGTGACAGGGAGACTACTCTTGGAGAATAACAGTGTGTGAAGAACTCAACTGGAATCATATTGGTGTCCAAGTATGGGTGACAACAGAAGACTGAAATAACACTAAACAGAATTGAAGTTAATGTTGAAGATGTAAAAAGATACCTGGAGGAATTGGATGTAGCAAAAGCAGGATGACTAGACCAGATATCACCATGGTTAATGAAGGAAGATGCAGGGAACTTGTGTTATCCATTACCTTTAGTATTCAACATTACACTGGAATATACACACATATCACAATAGCATGATACATCAAATGTAAACACCCAGACTAAGGCGCATCTGGGATCATCCTGGACATAGGTTCGAAACCTCATCACAGCCCTTGTGGATTTGTTTACACTAGAAATATACAACCAATCTGGAAATTGGCAAATGTAGTTCCAACATTTAGGAAAGGGGGGGATGGAAATAAAGCACTGAACTACAGACCAGTGTCATTAACATGCATTCCATGCAAGATTCTAGAAAAATTCATCAGAAAAAAGGATTGTAAATCATTTATGATGAGTAAATGTTACATCGGAGGCACTACACAGTTTCAGACAAGAAAAAATCATGGTTAACACGATTGAATTCTATAACAGGGTCACCAAGATAAGACAGGAGAAGGAAGAATAGGTAGCCCTATATGTTGTCACAGACTATCTACATTATTAACGTCATTTAACGATCTAAAGTGAAATGCTCACACACACATGCAAGGACATGTTTTTGTTCTAAAGATTTTAGTGTATCAAACACTAAAGCACTACTGTAATAATAGTAAGTGATTAGATGGATACCCAGTTAGAAAATACAGTATATATAACAGACCTAATAACTTACTTTGTCACTTTATATAATCCTGTCAATTTTTCTTCATTTAATTTTTCTATATCTGGATCCATTCCTCCAAAGGATAATCGACAAGGCAGGAAGTCCATGCAGTCATAATAAGAATTAACCATTACAATCCGGTCTCTGCGAATAGCAACAATATCATATTTCAACATATTAATATAAATTTCATAACAAACATCAACTTAATGCAGCATATAGAAACCCTGAAATATTTGTAGTCAGTAACTGGCTACAACAGCAAGTACTACACACTTCAAGGCTGGCACTCAAGACTTACGCGCCTTCTAGTAGTGATGATAGCTGATCTTGGTAAAGACTCTGACGTTCTTCATTTTCTTCAAGAAGTTGTGCCTTTTCCTTGCTTTTTTTCATAAACTGAAAAATATATGTTTGGAAAGTAATCTGTTTAGGATATTTTCCCACTAATAATTTTACACATTATATCAAGAGTATACTGGAATAATAAAAATGAAGTTTTATATTACTATTTATGCCTGTAGGATCAAGCTGTTAGCTTTTGGACACTGCCTTTTTAACTATTAGTTATCAAATGTACTGACTCCAACCTACGTTTTTCTATCATATCTACCACATACATAAGTTACATATATTTCTCTCTAATATACATACAAATCCCCAGGATGCATCCCAGGTTCCTATTTACTTCTAGGGTAAACAAAGGCGTCATGTGAAAGAAACTGCCCATTTGTTTCTGCCTCGGCTAGGAATCGAACCCGAGCCCTTAGGACTACGGCCATCAGGTGCTGTCCACTCGGCTGAGACGCCCCTTATATTGATGTGACTTATGTATGGTGATGGTGAGGGGGGTAGAGGGTGGAGAGTTGACTACTTGCCAATCCTCAACCGTTTGTCTCTATTCACCCAGCACTGTTTGGGTTCCCGATTTATGGGTCGTGTTCAAGGAAAATCTTGTGGGTAAGGCTGACCCTGAGTTATGGTATGGGGACAGCTCTCAGCCTGCTAAAGAGTCACAAGTTGCCTGTTCTATTCACACGTTCCACATGTGTAAAACACAAGAGGGCCTGACATTTTCAGGGAAATGCCGCAGGAATTGTCTCGACTCCGTTCCATACTAGAATGATGTCACACTTTCTGGGTTGAATTCACAGGTTGTATTATATACTATTAATTGACAATGTCAGGGAGAGGAAGCCTGTACTCGGGCTTGTATCGAGATATCCCCCGTGTCGAACTACCGACCTTCCCCAGGATGCAACCTGCAACCGTTGCCTAACTACTTGTTTCCTATTTACTACTAGGTGAGCAGAGGCACCAGGTGAAAGGAAACATGATTAACCACTCCAGTCTTACATGGGTATCGAACCCGGGGATCCCCGATTGCGAGTCAAGGGCTGCAATCAACTGGTGGGCCTAACATGCGGTTGGGTTATACGATTCATAAAGATTTTGAACGCCAGTTGTTGATATGCTTCACACATTCTTTATGTACAATATATTAAGGACTAGATTAATGTTTTAAAATGGGTTAGGAACGACGGAGTGTTGGACATGACGTTAGTGAGAGCCCACCGTAGCAACCCTCCTCCCACCCTTATTTATTTATATATATACAAGAAGTTACATTGGGTTTATGAGAGTACATAGCATGATATGGTTACATTCTTGTAAAGCCACTAGTACGCACAGCGTTTCGGGCATAGATCAAGGGATACCCTTCTCGTAATTAACACCCGCCCCGTGGCATAGATCACTAACCTTCAAGTCTAAGACTCCTTTCGAGAGCTTTTTGATCATAGGTTTCTCTTCGTTATGCATCTTGAAGCAACGTTAGTGTGGCAGTGTGTAGTAGTGAAGCACGAGTGAGGAGGCTGAGGGTCCCGCTCTTCACACTACACTTCTTAACAACTTCTCACACCACCAAAACAAAACATATTTCTTAAAACCAATCTTGCTGTAAAACACTATTAACTATGTAACTACTTTATTAAATTGTAACCTGATTATCTAAATGGGTTTCGAGAATGCACACCGGGTCCATAGAATTACCCCAATCATCCCAAATCAGGCCAAAACTACCCAAAACGTATTAGCATTACGTAAGTAATGAAGAAATATGGTATATTTACTTACTATAATGTTGGTGCTACACGTAGAACATGATCAAACCTATTTTTTCTCTGAAATAATCTAATTTCATAACGAAATGAGACGTAAATATGTGAGAGGTGACGCCATAGGAAGTCGACGGTCCAAGCGACAATTGTGTGGAGCGACTTATCCAAGAAATATGGTCGCCAGGAGAGTGTTTGCTGCCATATCAGCCTCCTGTACACAGTGATCCAGTCCTTTTCGTTCATTGAACACCGAACCCTACACGCCCTCTGATATATTGCTTAATTAACAAATATTCACAAATAAAGATTATATTTGTATATGTTATCAGAAAGGCAGATATAAAATAGTTTTTGTGAATCCATCACAGAGATTATACCTTATTAGAGAGGAAAAATATTCATACTTTAAACAAGGCTTCATGGCCGACGCTCTCCTTACCGATATGGGAACTATGACCTTCCGAAGATCAATGTTAATTTAATCTAGATATTGTAATAAACGAAGTTTTCTATGTCATCATAAAGACATAAATATAAGCTGCATGTTAATACTTTGGCATAAATATAACTGAATTGAAAGTTAAGATATATGCCTTTTTATAGTTACTTGATGGCTCGCTCAGGGAGTGTGAAGGCCTCCACACAAGCCAATCAATTTTATAATTACTTTGCATATATGCAAAGTAACGCCATAGGTCTTTATGTCAGAATAAAGCCATGTAGACGATAATGTAACTACATTTCAAGGAAAACATATCTTAATATAATTATTAAATGAATGCAAAGTTATGGTTAAATAAATAGCCAATACCACACAATCGCCGGTGTCCGGACACATGAATAGTCGCATTAGGTGAAAGGAAATGTACCCAACCATTTCCATTTACCCAACCAGTTTGTGCACCCTATACTCATCCTCTGTGCGGTAATTTATTGTGCATCCCATACTCATCTTGTTACCAGTAGTTTGTGCAACCCATACTCATCCTGTGACCCGTAATTTATTGTGCATCCCATACTCATCCTGTTACCGGTAGTTTGTGCAGCCCATACCCATCCTGTGACCTGTAATTTATTGTGCAACCCATACTTATCCTGTGACCTGTAGTTTATTGTGCAGCTAATACTCATTCTGTGAGTCATAGGACATTGCGAAACCCTTTCTCATCGTGTGAATCTTTGTTTACTTTGCTCTCCATATTCATCCTCTGCGCGATAGTTTCTTGTGCAACCCATACCCATGATGTGAGTGGTAGTTTATTGTGTACCCTATATTCATCCTGTGAGTATAGGGTTCACAATTCTTGTTTGGATTCTTGTAATGTTATTTGTCTATTTGTAGTCACAGTATTTGTGCGCCCCTTGAGGGACTTGAATTAGAGGGGGGTTGAAATAGCCTAAGCTACTCTATCCCTTTGAGATTTATTTATTGCTTATCTCAATAAACATACTTGAACTTGAACTTGGGTACACAATGAGTTCATTTGTACTCCATACTCATCATCAAGAAGTGTATTTTACCAGCATTGTAATATAAATTAAGAATAAAAGCTTAACTGGATTACAGACCCATAATCAAAATAAGAGTCATCACTAATTATCATGACAAATTCTCTAGGCTACACTTCGGCCTTCGACAAGCTGCCGCCGGATGTGGGTATAGTTTATTGTACACCCCCGCACCCCCAGTCCTGGAAGGGCGGCCATTGGGATGTGGACATGTGTACCATTTCCCCCCCCCCCCCCCCCCACACACACACACTCGATCCTCTCCTGTTAATAATAATACTAATAATAATAAAAATTAAAAATAATAACGTTAATAAATATTATAATTAAAACACTTACTGTAATACCCTAGTGCTTGAATGAAGGTGAAGGAAAGACCCAATAAATGTGTAAGTGTATTAAAAACCAAATTTTCGTTGGGTGAGCTGGCAGGTGAGCACCACTTGCCAGCTCACCCAGTAATGAACATCACCTGCACACTGCACCGAACCACTTGCCAGCAGGTGCAGAAGTACGATGGAGAGAGCAAAGTATACCATATTTCAAGTATAATATTAAAGATATATTTAGGATTTAATGTTTTCGTATAAAGTTTCAATAATACCTTTATTTGATTTTTTTGTATTATTTTCTACCACAGACGTGGCCACACATTAACAATGCTAACCATCATATATACATTTTCTTCAGTCCGCCATGGACTCTAACCCTTTCCACTACCGCCCACAAGATGGGTATAGGGTGCATAATATAAGAACTAAACTAACTCCATTGATAGGGTTAGAGATTTGTTAAACATATAGTTCAGGGATTTATTGAACAATCAACCACATAAGGTGATTGTAGTGTTTTTAAAATGCTAGGCTAAGCTACATACGTAAATACATAAATACACAGATTTACGTATGCCCTACATAAAGTGTTCGATGTGTCTTTTACATAGTGTCATTAACGTGCATTTACAAAGGTGAAATTGAATTCTGAACACATACATACACATATATTTGTCTCTTTTACTCTGACAAGGTGAGATAACTGATAGAGAAACTAGTGTGCAATTAAGCACTTAATCACTGAAGGTGATTAAGGTGCTTTCACAAGCTCAGGTTATAGAGTTACATCACATACATTCATTGTATAATTGATACGTTACATCGTCAATCTAGGGTACAAGTTCAATATATCATCAAGTGTTCCAGTACTCAAATAGTAATTACACAGTTTAGCATAGCGCTTCATTCATGTATGTAAGAGAGAAGATTGTTCAAATATATTACATGCACATCCGGTACATCGTCCACCTTCTTCTACAGAACCGTCGGTATACCACTGATACACATCGTTACCCATATTCTGAGTACTTTCAGTGATGCTTCACAGTGTTAACTGTTTTAATAATGTAGAGTGTACATTATCTTTCTTGGGTGCATTTACAAAATCAACTGCTAGATCCAAGTTATCCCATGGAGTAATTGGTTGATTAATCGTTAATTGAGTTGGGTACATATTTAATATTTTGATGGAGTTGGCTACCTTGTAGAACCAAAATGCATTCACGCCGAAAACTGTGCTAATAGACAAAATTATGTTAGAGATATGGGTCTATAATTATCTGAGTGTGCTTTGGGGATGGGAACAATGACACTGTCCAATCATCAGGTAATACTCCTTCACTTAAACTCATTCTGTACAACACTAAAAGTGGATTACCTGGTACTTGTGAGACTAATCTCAGTAAACTGTAAGTAATACCGTCCTCTTCAGGAGCAGTTGACTTATTTGATTGTGCTACACAGCCTTCCCGGCTTGGTGCCTTCTTTGGTAATTACTTATCAAAGGCAGCTCCATACGAGGAGCTGCCTCGTATGGGCCAATAAGTCTTTTGCAGTTACCTTCATTCTTATGTTCTTACTTACATTTACTGAACTTTATCATCATCATCATCATTTACAGAAAGAAATTAATATAAAAAGTAGTCATTTTAATACACAAAACAGAAGTAGATATTATGTAAATTATGATGCAGGATAGGATCACTATTAAGAACTTAATTATAAACCACAATATGTTTTATATCGTCAGAAATTCTGATACATACCATATATTTTCAAATATTTACAATTAAAGTATTTATTTAGGAAATAAGTATTTTAGTTACCCTAGTTAGCTCTGAGAACACACATTGTTGCAGCAAGAATTTCTTCCCACTAATCTGAGCGATGCTAATGACCCATTGGACTTGTCATGAACAACAATCAACTACAGCACCATCTATATCAGAAGATATTCAAAATATTCTTGATGTCATTCAAATTGTCAATACGAGAACAGAATACATAAGAGTTAGTTTAGTGATGTCAAAGGAATCATATTGACTGACCGAGCCCCATTGTAAATATCCGTGGCTTCCTGACCATAAAGGTACCGCCGCGGATAAGGGTAAGGAGGGTACCGTCGAGGGTAAGACACCGGATGTACCCCATATACAAGCCACACTAGCTATTAGTTCATATAAGCTGACAACTTACCCAAATAAACATTACTTCCTAATATATATATATATATATATATATATATATATATATATATATATATATATATATATATATATATATATATATATATATATATATTATGTAAATTATGATGCAGGATAGGATCACTATTAAGAACTTAATTATAAACCACAATATGTTTATATATATATCCTACTCACACTCATCCTAGCACAGTAATTTATTGTGCAACCCATACCCATCCTGTTACCAATAGTTTGTGCAACCCATGCTCATCCTGTTACCTTTAGTTTATTGTGAAACCCATACTCATCCTATGAATGGTAATTTATTATGCACCTCATACTCATCCTGTGAGTCATAGGACATTGTGGAACCCTTTCTCATCGTGTGAATCTTTGTTTACTTTGCTTTCCATACTCTGCTCTCCGATAGTTTCTTGTGCAACCCATACCCATGATGTGAGTGGTAGTTTATTGTGTACCCTATACTCATCCTGTGAGTATAGGGTACAAAATGAGTTCATTTGTACTCCATACTCATCAAGAAGTGTATTTTACCAGCATTGTAATATAAATTAAGAATAAAGGCATAATCTTATTATGTACCCATAATAAAAATAAGAGCCATCACACTATAATTTTCATGACAAACGGCCTAGACTCCACTTCCGCCTTCGACAAGCTGCTGCCGGAGGTGGGTATAGTTTATTGTACACTCCCGCACCCCCAGTCCTGGGAAGAGGGGCATTCGAATGTGGACATATGAACCATTACCCCCAACC